CCCGGGCCCCAGGAGGCCCCCGGCCTCACACACAGGTGAGGGGTTTCGAGCCCATCCCACCTTCCCCGGACGAGTTCTGTCCGCTCCCCAGAAAGCAGCCCCAGGCCCCAGGTCCATGACACTCTGGCTCTCACCCACAAACCACTGACCAGTCCTTTCGAATCTACCCTCTAAAGGTTTGTTATTGACGAAAGAAAAGCCTGAGAGAGGTTGGTAAAGTCTCAGCCGTTACATGCAGCGAATCCCCCAGTTCTCAGCGCAGGCTCTAGCAGAGCTGTTCTGACTGCTGGCGTAGAAGTCCTCGGTGCACATCCTACGTCAGGATGGGTCCCCAGTTCTTCCCGGCTCCTCGATCCCTGCTCTCTTGCCTCTGGGACGAAGAGCTGAGCTGAGCACCAAGATGGAGTCGGCCACATGGCCTATTTATACCCCCCTGGCTGCTTCCAAGCCGGAGAGAGTCACGTGGTCTCTGGCCAGGCAACTACATTCCTTCCCAGGTGGGTCTCGTGGCCAGGCACCTACATTCCTTCCCAGGTGGGTGTCTGGTGCGTGAGACCTCTTGTCCCTGGAGCCTCGCTAATTAGCGTGGCCATAGGCTGAGCCCAGCGCTCACCCACATGCAGAGAAACTCCCAGTCTCCGTCCAGAGAACACGTGTCCAGCTCCACACACACGTTCCACAGAGATGTGAAGAGCAGATACAGGACCAGTAGACAGTGGGCGTTTGACCCCTCACACGGCCCCCCTGGTGCCCACTTTTGGGGCAGCCCCCCAGGGGCGCAGCAGTGACCTGGCTGCTCCCGTTAACGTCCAGTGACGTGACACCCGCCTGCCCGCGCGGCGCCCACAGGGAGAAGCTGGTGAAGATGCTGGTGGAGCTGCTGACCAACCAGGTGAAGGAGAAGCTGCTGGTGGTGCTGGCGCTGCGCCTGCTCTGCGCGCTGATGGCCAAGTACGACTGGCGCGTGCCCTTCGCCACCGAGGGCGGGGTGCGGGCCGTGCTGGCCTGCATGCAGGAGTACGCCCG